TCTTAAAAGCCCACTGGCCTACATTACATCAGGTCAACAGCAGCCCTGCTCCTATGATGATCACATGATCACAGCATTAAGCTTGCATTTCTATGACTGTAAAGTGTCGCTGTAACATTTGAAAGTAACGCAATCTTCTGCTCACAGATAAAAAGTTGAAATCATAGGAAACAAAACACACTGTCACATGTGTTACTGTAAGAACCTCACTTGGTCTGGTATGACTGGTAGCTTCTGGTGGCTAAAGTTATTGAAGGTCCAGTCTGTAACATGTGTTCATGAGTGTATAATCACCTGAATGTAGGAATTGTTTTCTCGTTACCTTAGAGTGAGCTGTTTTTATCTACAGAGTCCGCCATTTTTCTACAGTAGCCTAGAATGGACAGACAAAACAGTGGCTCGAGATAGGGCCACAAAAGTCCCCTGCAGTCAGAAACCAGTGTTTGTTCTTGTTCCTACAGTGTGCTGTTTGAATGCTGTCTGTGCAGAGTTAGACACTAGAAGGAAGTTTTCACATTCATCTGCTGAAAGTGGAAAGTTTCTCTGTGCTCATTGAAAAGCTGATTTTAAGGGGCGGGGCCTACCAGCAGGATTACTGACATCATCCTGATCCAGTATCATCTTGTACAGTGTGATGTAGAAACCTGAAGCCACCAGTGCACATCCACTGAGAATGGACTTTACAGTGAAGTAGGAGACATCTCTCAGGAGTTTTTCCTTGCCCTTGTAGTGCTTGCTCATGGTGGTACTTTGGGTCTCTGTAATTAATGTTAAAGAGTTCGTCTAGACCTGCTCTATTTGAAAAGTGTCCTGAGATAACTTCTGTTATGAATTGGCGCTATACAAATAAAATTGAATTGAATTAATTGACTCTTGTGTCCAGCAGGGAAACTTTAGAAATCAACAACATTTGCATATTCAGAGATTCTGGAAGTTTTAATGAGGTAGAAGGAAGAGATGACTTTTTAAGGATTTTGTTCCAAACAGGCCATTTATGTCTTCATACATGTCTCCAAGAAAGGTTTGTGCCACTCTCACACTACATTTAGGCAAACCCGGACTGCAGGTATTTACAACTAGAACTGGGATGGAATAAGTGTGATTAGTGCATTACTAATTTGTGGGGTTGTTTGGTGATGTTACCCAGAGAGAAATAAAGGGTGCTCACTGACACTCTCCCAGCAAGGACGATGCAAGGCTCTATAATGGCTCTATAATGGCTCTATTGATGCGTTGATCCTGAGAACTGGTCTTAGAAGGACAAATCAGCACTCCTTGTGGTTTACTGGGCACTTTGCCCTAGATGGTGTTTGACTGCCTGTAGGCCTTTCCTAGTACATTTTAACTGACAGCTTTCACATTCATTTCTCCTCTGAATCCTCAGTCTTAGGTCAGTGTTGGCTACATTTCCTTACCTAAGGCCTAAATCTGAAGTATGCCATACACTTGATTCTTACTGTAGATTCATTTTTATTGATTTCTTGTGTTTAATGTCTTTTAGGGGAGTCTGGGATTTGATGTTGCCTTATCTTCAAGTCAGTAAGTTTTTTTTTTGCTTTAAGTTGACCTCTGTGTATGATCTAAACCTGACTGGGAAAGTCCTGATCTCTGTGGAGACGGATGCTGCTTGATTGGAGCGTTTCAATGGACGTATTGGGGCAACCAATGCTATACTATTCACCTTATTTGTGAGGGATACAACGGGCAAGCCGAGCCTTCAGCCTGACAGGATTGAGATTTTGGAATGACCGGAAATATGTAGCTCCCCATTGTCCCCTGGTTCAACCTAAATCAATATATCTATATATCAATATAGGACTGTATTGTGAAGAGCTGGACAGCTTTTTTAAGTCAAACCATATTCACGATTATCACGATAATTCACCTCTATAAATTTGTGTTTTTCATCGCGATACGCAATGTCATGTATCGTCCCATTCCTAAAATGCATGACATGGATGTGTCCAGGAGGAATTCACACCTTCTTCTAGAGTTAGGGTTTTTCTGCGTTGTAGGAAACTGTAGATGTGAGGACTGTAATATACATTATATACACTGATCAACCATAACCTTCTGACCACCTGGGCACCCTGGTGGTCATAGTGTTATGGTTGTTCTGACACCTTTCTATCAGAACCAGCATTAACTCTTTCAGCAGTTTGAGCTACAGTAGCTCCTCTGTTGGATCGGACCACATGGGCCAGTCTTCCCTACGTGCATCAATCAGCCTTGGTTCCGGTTCACCACTTTTCACCACAAAAGTGAGAGATTAAACAGTTTGAAGAGACCATATCAAGTCTGTCTAAAATACACCTAAACACCTACACCTAAATGTATCTATTGCTTTTAGACTATGAAATGATGATTCAATGCCGCCTGCATGTATCTGTGGTGGTACTGTATGTATTTATTTATGTATGTGTGTTTTGGTCAGATGATTCTGGTTGCCCCCCATGTGCCATGTGTCTCATTAGTAGGCTATTTTCCATCTCTGATGAGATCCAGTTAATGAATTACATATTTATTGTAGTATAGTTGGCAACAGATGGGAAGAAATATATGTAGGACTAAAAGTGCCACAATTAAATAAATAAATACACCATTAAATAATTACTTAAATGTGTCATTAATTAATTAAAATTGGAATTAAATACATAAATGTGTTATTAAATGTGTCATCCTCCATCGTCTCTTTCCAGGCACCAAAGCAATGGATCAGGCTAGATTCGCATTAGCCCCACCCACTCACTTTGATGGGCCAGTTTGACAGATTAAAATAATTCATGAAGCACTGCAACGCAGGACCATGAAATAATTAAATAATTAGTGAATTATATATGTTTTTTACATAAAATGAATCAGAATCGAATTTGAATGAGTTAATGACACATTTAATGACACATTTATGTATTTCATTTCAATTTTAATTAATTAATGACAAATTTAAGGAATTAGTTAACAATGTATTTATTTACTTAATTGTGGCACTTTTAATCCTCCATAGAAACATGCCTAAACTCTTCTAAAATGGATGGATTTTCAATGTATTTATCTGGGACAGTGCGCATTAATCAACATTGTAAATGTGCCAACATAACCCGAGATTTGAGTAAAATCTGCTGTCCTTTGCTATATTGCTAAAATGGCCTTACCTACAATGATGCGATGGAAGCCTGATGAAGGTTTTCTGACATGTGCAAAGTGCGTGCGTTCTTGTGTGTGTGTGGTGACCGAATTGAGGCCACCAAAGCCACAGAGTTCAACAGGCTCACTGTCTATCTGTGGCACTCAAAAACCTGGCCTGGATTAACCTTTGCGTCGTCTCTGATCTGGTTAGCCATACTTATTTCGCAGTGCAGCTAGCGCTAAAACTGATCCCAGAGCAGACCTCAAGACTAAACAACAAACAAAAATGTTCCTGTGTTTTTTTTTTTTTTTGGTTTTTGTTTTTTTACAATATATTTATTTACTGGTTTATTTAAATTTTGTTTGACATGGAAAACTGTGGTTCACAGCTCATCTTGAACCAGTCATCATTGGTTTTCTTTAACCATGATGGCTTCTCTAATGTGAGTTGAACACGTTGTTTGTTGTTTAACTCACTGTTGAATGACCTCGATCTTGCCGTCCTTGGTATCAATGATTTGATGATGACAACTCAGAATGTAGCTTAAGCAACTTGGAATGAAAGGACTTTCTAAATGACTCAAAACGTTTTCAAAGTAACAATACAAATCACTTACTGCTCATTGCAATAATATTATTATGCTCTGGCCGTCTTATACATGGCAATGTTCACCAGGTTTTCCGGTAAGTTAGCCACTGTTGAGACCAGCAGGTGGTGCTGCTCTCTTGGACAAACATCAAAAAAACTTGAAATAGCTCTAACAAAGGTGATGTTTCCCTAACCATAGCCAAGTAGTTATAGTTGCCTGAATGTAACCAAACCCTACATAACACAATTTCTTTTTAAAAAGTAACAAAAACTGACTTGTTTTAACCCAAACCATGATGTTTTCCTACACCTAACCAAGTAATTTTGTTGCCTAAACCTAACCAAACTTCAACTGTGTTACAAAAATAAAGTAAGGTAGGTAACGTTTGAGAAACTAGCAAGAGACGGTTTAGAAGTATCCCAAAAAAAAACCACCCACTTCCTTCGGGTTTCCCTCCAAAGCCAGTCATTTTATTCAGTCTGGGTTTTCAGGGGATTTAATTTATTGATTTCTGTCGAAATGTAAAGAGATTTTCAACTAATATAACAAGAAATCCTTCTGAACAATACTTACCCTAGATTTAACCACGTGATGATAGAGGTCTGGTACGACGAAGGTCCAGTACACCTGTTGCTTCGACTCTCCAACAGTTGGATGTCATTTTGGAAGTCATTGGCAATCAATCTAATCAGTTGTTTAGGTATTACCCCACAACTGAGCAAACCCTCCTTCAAGAAACCTGCTTTTTTGCAGAATCTTTCTAGTCGTGGAGCAGATCTTCAAAACAAATAAGCTCTGTGGACTTGGTTGAAACCCTTTTAAAAGTGTTTTGACAGTATTGCCTCTTCCTTGCTTCCTTGTTTGCTTCTTGTAAGGATTGGTCTTTGAACTGATCTTGGCATTGCTTACTCTGGCATTCCAGCAGCCCTGAAGCACACCACAGCCCTACTCTTCTCTCATCCTCATCCCTTTTTCCATAGATGTTATCTCCTTCTTTTTTGGTTCAAAAGGGGAAGCAGTGGCAACGTCCACTCAGAAACTAATCCCAACTAGAAACAAAGAAAGACTATCTTTAATGTAATCTTTTAATACATCTAAAATGGTTTCAAAGATGTTTACCAAGCCTTTATGTTTCTAAGAAAGGGATTTTATCTGACTGTGTTTCACAAGGTGAGCTGGCAAGTGAAAAGCTGTCCTTGACTAGTATGGTGATTAAGGCAGTAGGGTAGATCTGTCAGATGTGATCTGTAGCTTTGTGGTAAACTCATTAGCTTGGGCAGACATCAGCTTTGCTCTTGTGTTTCTTACCATAACCTGGTAAGGTTCAGTGCTCTGCTGCTGCTGCTCCTCCTCTGGGGTTGCCGTCTGAATCTGGTTTTATTTTACCCTTTAACACACATTGATCTCGGATTTCTAGAGAATATTTTTGAAATCCAGCTTTTCCCGGTTCAGTTTCTTGACATCCACCTGCGAAGCCCTGCATGCTGGCACATAAGTCTTATGCACATGATATGATGTTAATAGTTGGCTAACTTTTAGCTCATCGCAAGGCAAGGGGGGACCTACTGTTGCCATGGGCAACAATGTGCACCGTGATTTTATGCTTCCTCATTCGCCAAGTAGTCAAATGCTTGATAGCTGTGTGGAATTCCAGGAACTGCTCTTGTGGTAAGTCCATGTGTTTTGAGCGTAGTACGTAGAACGTGATGTCCTCTAGACTTTTCTTATGAAACCTTAAGTGAGTGAAATGAAACGATAACGCATATGTCTACAAAGTGAAAGAGTTGTGAAACTAAATTTATGTAGCTAGGGACTAAGTCGGTTTGTAAAACAATGGTCCAGGGTTAGAATGTACCGCAAAGAGGCAATCACTATATGTGGTGATTTCACTGATCTAAAATAGGTCAGGGGCGTCATTGTCCTACCATGCTTTATTTAGGTTGACTGCACTGTTGTGTTGACAATACTCGGGTCCATGGTAGCATTTAATGAACTGAGCAGCTTTTCATGTTGTAAGAAAGACTAAATATTGTATTTAATTGAACCCTTATCATACCAGACAGGTGAACTAAGAACACATTTCTTTTTGCAGCAATGACATGCGAACTTGACCACAGAGGTCCTCTTGAGTAGGTTAAAGGATTTCTGTGTTGTTTGTGAAACTTCCGTCGTTTTCCAGATTGGACTCTCCAATCCAATCAATGTTAAGGAATTAGAAAGTAACTTATACTATTCATTCCAAATTCACATGCTTTACATTGTTCTCAAAACTTTTAGCTGAAAAATCTAACTTTAGAGAGTTTATCTCACCAAATACTCAGCATGGATACTTAAAGCCAAGAGGAAATGAATAGCCACCTGAAATGGTTAGTGGAATTATCTCCCATTATCATCCCACACTTTGTGTACTGATGACAACCAGATGGTTGAGTTTCTACTTTGATGCTGTTTTTGAAAGAGTGGACACATACAGTATGTATATAAAATATAGGATGGGCTATTTGTCTTTTTCTGGTGTGAGATATGACATTTCGGTTATTGATTCATTAAGGATAGAAGGAAAGCTTTCTGTGAGTTACTGTCTAGTGGTAATGTTTCGGAGAAAGTTGAGCCACGTACATCTCTCATCAGCCAATCCAATAAACCTGAGCAGATGGATGGCCTCTTACACTAAAGATCTAAACGGAATTAACTAATTAAACTGTGCTAGTGACAGGTTTCAGTACTAAGTGTTACACACACAGTTAACATTACTAATAAAGTAATGACTATTTATACCAATTCCTACTTCAGTACCTGTTGCCAGAGGAAACTATTTGGATAGGTGTCATCCTGAGGGAGGGCAGGCCCGTGTTTTTAATTATGGCTTACACACATTTATTATTCATTAAAAATGCTGTTTCCATTTAATTGCAAAGAAATAATTTTGGCCTAAATTGATAAATTAGAATTCTTTATTTTAATAAGTCATGTTCTTGTTGTTTTCATAAACAGTCAACATTATTACAGATGTTTTCTTCAATGCACTTCAACTATATTATATAGTCCTCCACTCAGTTACAATCCTGCTCGCCAGCAGAGCAACATTTAGGGACCAGCGCAAAAATTGTTTGTAAAAGAGCAGGTACTTTCAAATAATACTCAGCAGGTGATTGGATGAACCACTTGTCTATCACCGTCTTTTACAGGGAACTTCAACCAATCAGATCAGTGAACCATATATTGAGTCAAACTTCAGTCGGGAGAAAGGAGAAAACATCTTTTCTATCGTGAAACATTTTTTTGGTCTTCTTTCAGTGAAGAACCCCCTACTTCTGATAGAACTGATGCTAGCAGCATCTATGCTAACCTCTTTAGCAGCCACACAGCTTGAATCATGGTAAGACGGATTCTCGCATGATCTCTGGATTTTGTGATCTTGCAAGTCCAGCTGCCTTGCAAGGTTATGCTTCATGTGCAGTGCTTACAATCCTGCTTGCACTACCATCCAGTGGTTGCTGCATGCTCTGTTTTCATCCCACACAGATAGTACTTGGTCCCACATACATGAGACTGCCTGACCCTGCCCAACTATGATAAAGGGTGTCAGAAGTGCAACAGACTTGAACCTTTGAGCCAGTAATGGCCAGTGTGCCCATGCTTTCATTTATACAATGTTCCATGTGGAGTTGCTCTGCAATTACCAGTGACACTTTGTATGTCCATTATGGCATATAATATGAAAACAATCTTAAACAAAATAGAATCATAGTGAAGTTAACACTGAATGAAAACTGAAACATTGTCAGTTTATACTCAGAAAGGCATAAGCATAGAGGAGATTTTTTATCACTGACTAATGGTTGGTACTACTAATGTAGTATCAGTTATACAGGCTGTTCATGTAGGCAATAAAACTACTGCAATATCAGGTGGATTAATTATTGTAAAATAAAATGTTCATTAGTAAACCTAAATATAAATAGAAATCATTGCATAATGATTAATATACACTATATGTATTCTGGTATTTAGTTGTGTATTTGTTTTTTATCCACCATTGCTTTTATTCTGTACCCCTCTCTCTTTCTCTCTCTCTGTTATTAAAAGACTGACTTGCTCTGCTCTGCCTCAGTGGGGATCTCAGTTATATGAAAATGTAATAATAATGCTGATCACACACACACATACACACAGCACTTTTACTCTGGCCAGAAGAGCTGAAAGCCTGTAATAAGATTAGAGAACGGTAGAACAAACTGACAAACAGAGGACTGGGGAGGTGACAGTGGGGTCATCCATTTCCCATTCACAAGTAGAGCCCCTATTATTTTCTATGTAAAACCCCCACACTGGCCGTTAGATGCGCGCCCGTGGACGCTCAGCCTCACGCCACCGTCCTATTTCCACCGTCGCTGCACCTGAGAAGAACGCTCCTTGCTTGTATACCTCAGATCCAGTACCAGCTCTTCTTCTCTGCTCCTGTGACAGCTAGGGCTGCACAATTAATCGTAATATTATCCAATTGCAATATGCAAAACACAGGAAGCTGCAATTTCTTAATAAGGGTAAAATTTGTGACAAACAGCATTAAAATGAACTACTCTTGTTGCCCTGGTCTACAAATCTTGTTCTCCAGATTTAAGAAAACATGTTTGTTTGCTGTAGACCCCAATTGTTTGGGGATGATAATTTTTATCATTCTAACTAATTGTGAATCATATCACAATCGCAGTATCCATTTAAGTAATCACAATATGTTTTTACCATATCGTACATCTCCCTTTCCCGCCCTCTACTCACTTCTTGCTATTGCTTGTGTGTACAGCAATGGATGAGGAGAGATTAGTTGTTGGGATCAATAAATATTCCGAGCTATACGACCCACAATCCCATCGTTATGAAGACAATGGCAAAAAAGACCTTGCCTGGCGAGCCCCTTCAAGTAAGTTTAAATCGTGGCGTCCACACATAATTTTAAGCAAATGTCTGCAGTAGATATTTTAGTATAGTATAATCAGTTTTAGTATGAAAAAAGTGCACAGTTGGCCTTCATAGTTAACAAGGTTCAGGTTACATCCCACTGAATGAGACGACTCTGCCACCTGCTGTTTGTACCAGGACTGGGAAGTAATAGCAAAGGATTATCATGAATGGAGATCTGTTGTTACCACAAACCTAAGCAGCTCTGGGAAACTGATGCACTGCAGACCAGTGCTTCCTAACTATGCTGGGGTGCTGCTTGATGCGTGTCATATGACATGCTGCGGCATGCAGACTGCATATGTTCAAAACATGTGCACAGACACCCAATGTGCATGGATGTAATTTATTGAATGACACCTTGGACCCCTGGGCCAGAGCCTCTGTATCATGTGACAATTAATACTACTTGTTGGAAAGTCCATCAAACTGACTAACAAACCAAAACTTCTATAAAGAGATGTAAAACCACCACAAAGATAGGCAAAATGACCACAACAAGTAGCAAAACTTCAATAAAAAATGTAAAGCGACCACATCTGTGTATCTGAGAGTGTAAACAGTGTGTTGTTGATGCTGTTGATGTTTGTAGTCATTTTGTGTCTATTTCAGTCTGGGTGTAAATGGTAAATGGACCTGTACTCGTATAGCCCCTTTCTAGTCTTCCGACCACTCAAAGTGCTTTTACACTACGTGCCACATTCACCCTTTCACACACAGATGGCAAGGTCTATTTAACAGAAACTCATTCATGCACGTATACACACCAATGCACAGCGTTGGTAGCAATTTGGAGTTCAGTATCTCAATGATACTTCGGCGTGCAGCTGGAAGAGCCAGGGAAAGGTTAAAAACTTTACGAGTAGTGGATGACCTGCTAACCTCAGAGCCACATCCGCCACCTATCCTATTTAGGAGTTCAGTATTTACAGAAGCACATCCACTGTCCATATCCAAATTAAAGGAGTCATATTATGCCCCTTTTCAGGTTCATAATTGTATTTTGTGGCTCTACTTCAATAGGTTTAGATGTTTTAATGTTAAAAAAAACACATTATTTTTCTCATACTTCCTATAGCTGAGCACCTCTTTTCAGCCTGTCTGAAACGATTGGTTTTAGCTCCTGTCTCTTTAAGGCCCCCCTCCCAAAAAGCCCAGTCTGCTCTGATTGGTCATTGCCAGTGTTTTGGCAGGTAGCTCTTCACTGTTACTGAGTTTATCTGCATTTCTACCGTCAATATTAATTCAATAACTACTTCTAAACCAAAACCTTTGCCACCGGACATGTTAGAGCGGGAGTCTGACCTGAAACCACAGAGAAAGGAACAACATCAACAATCAGGATTACAGCTTTCTGCTTGACGTTTTCCTCAGGTAAATACTGCTAACGCTATTAATCTCTCTCTATCACATAATGTTAGTGTTTATACCTTAACTATGAGAACCAACACTGTTTTATGCTTGTCTTTACAGGTACAGCAGTGAGCAGTGACCTACAGTCTACAGAGCCCAGTGATGATTATTACCATTATTACATAATATTAACAACATTAGTCAAGCAGTTGTTTCTAGTGAAGAAACATCCAGTAAAGGTACCAAAGTAATCAGAGTAATAGTATAATGAATACTGTAACCTCCCATCTGTTATATTCTTTATACACATTAGTTTACTGAGACCATGGAAACAGAAACCTGGAATACTTTAT